CACTTTTATTCTCACAATTACGAATATATTGCGCACAAATGAGGCTAACATAGAGCATTGGAGAATTCGAAACTGGAATACTCTCGGTCTCGAAGCGAATATTAGTCTCTTTTAACAGCCGCGACTTCCGGCGGAAGTCGCGGCTGTTAAAAGAGAATAGGAAACCCCGAGATTCTTTGCAGGCTTAAGACTGTGGACTGTGTCGTGGTGACGACAACGTTTTTTGAAATAGGTGTATATAAGCGTGCGCATTCATTCTTTTCTTTCGTGAGCCAATCAGATCGCACGAAATTGAACAGTCATATGATAATATATCATTCAGAACACATGATGGAGAAGATAATACGAGAATCTCTCAAATAAAAATATAGTTTCACGTTAAAATTTAACGTAACCTTGACACGGTGTGTTCAACGAAGTGGTTCTCGTTTTTTTTTAGTTTTTCTTTTTTTTTTGTTATTGTTTTAGTGACTGTTGGTCGTATATAGAGATAGCTTGTCTGTTCTATATCACAAACAAGTTCAATAATAGTGTCATTGTTTCTAGTGTTCTTGCTGTCTAGTTTTCGATACTCATGAACTAATTACCTGAATTATCTTTTCCCCAACTCATCTCCAAACAAACCATGGTGTACACTATCAGTACCAGTGTTTTCAAACTCTCCATGTTCTGATGTCTATCTAGCTCTGATAATTGCCAGCTTCGTCGATAATCAGGGAAAATGTTGTGAATACGAAACAACTCTATGCTGAAAAGGTTTGATGCAAATTAATTTTTTTCGTTTCGTACCTCGTCCAGAGCAGGAACGGAAACATAGTAATATTATACCGTTTTAATTAAATAGAATGTACTCCGGCAGATTATTAAAAATAAAATGAACCTACGAGGTGTTAATATCCTATCGTATCCTGGTTCCGGCGAGTTTTTTTTTAACTCTTCTATATGAAAAAATCGAATCGCTGGGACCTGGATATCAAAACCGAAACAAAAATAATCTTTATCAAAAGTTCTTAAACCTACATTATTTTTGGAAAAATGGAGGCGTCCTTGGATTATTATTATTACGAATTACTTTCCTTTTTATTTATTTACACCAAACTTCTGAATTCTAACTTTCAGGACTCGTTTCCAGGCCCCCCGGTATTGAAGTGCTCCATTACACTGATTAACACTGATTAGCTTTCATGTAAACAAAGCCATGAATTSACCAATGAGAGCAGGCGT